AATAAAGTACCGAACTTACCTGAGGAGTTTGGATTGCCCCACACATAAGGAACAAATTTTCCTCCTTTGAAGAAGAGATTCTCATGAGGAGAAAATTCCCAATCGTCACCTGAAACATAGAAGAAACGATTTTTCCATCCTTTGTTGTTGGATGGATTTCCGGTAATGAGTACATTCCTCTTATCTCGGATGGAAAAATACCACCAATCACCTATCCGCTTAGGCAAATAACAATGGAGGAATTGGGCGACTATTAGCGAGCCGTTGCCACAAGTTCGCCAAAAGACCATGCATCCCAACATTATTCTCCAGGCATTTGGTGTAAGTTGAGTTAGGGCAAGGTTGAGACGGTTAAGAATTTATCTGATAATAATAGGAACAGGGAACCATAGACCAGACAAAATAGTGAACTTATAAAAACATATTTCACCCGGAACAAGAGTACAAACTCTTTCATTTGGAGCGGGAAGCCGTAGACGAACAGTTTTGGGAATCGAATATTTCGACCTAAAGCATTTTAAGTCCGCTGAAGTGAGTGAACATTCCATGTCTTGCACCTTCTCTACAAGCCTTTTGCATGGTGAAAATGAGTCGTACTCGGATCCTTCCTCATCACTGGTCTCTTCGCGCAAACTGATCATTTCATGTGTAGACATGGTATGATCGTCTAAAGAGTTTACAACAAATAAAAGTGTGTCCACAATTTCAACCACCGACTAATACAAGCGTTTAGCCACACCAGAGCTTATGAATTCTTGAAACAAATGATTCAACGGACTGAAGCGACTAAAATATAGGAGACAAGCAAAAACTAAAAAAGATTGGCGATCCAAAGAATCCAATATGTATATATATATATATATATATATATGAAAGAAGTTCTGCTACGAATAAAAAATAAAAAATAAAAATTGGCAAGTCGCTGAAATTTCTTCAACAAACAAGAACGATAGAGCTATCTAAAAATCTTACCCAAGTACGCTTTATAAAGAGTTGGTAAGTAGGTATTGCACTTGAGTTCTAATTGTTTTAGAATTGGATTAAGCATCATTGGGCAAATGTTGTTTCCTGTTTGTCATCAAATTTATCTATTTTTCCCATACTCCTAGTGCAGACAAGAAGGAACTCAGAATATTCTACACAATCACATTCTTACTTAGAGGAGTTTTTTTATCGTTCCTATTTTATCGACTACGATCTAAAATTATATATATATATATATAAAGGTAGAGGTTGAAGCCGAAACATGTTAACAAATACTTAAGTGGGCAAACCAAGCACGCCCACCTTCACCAAAGAGGGCGACCACTGATCGCCCATTCACACTTATTTTTATTTTTATTTTTTATTATTTTCTTAGCATAATCAATTCACTTGTAATTGGATTGGGATTTACCTTCCTCTTTCATCCGACCGCTGTTGGAACCGAACTGATATAGCGAGGGTTTGGCTTAATCTTTGGCCTTGATCTGTTTTACCCCTTCATCACTCATCACTCACCGGTTTTGTATCAGTAGTCATAAGGATTATAGCTCCTTTGACTACAAAGGGATCTACAAATGGGTTCGCATCATGTGAGGCTGCTGTTTAGCCGCGTTGATGATGGATGTGCCTTTATTTTAAGGATGTGGTTGTAATGATTAACTCAACTCCTTTGTTGATTTTGTGTTGTGGCTTCGGCTAAATTGTACAATTTATCATTTATACAAATACTTTACCACACACCAAAAAAAAAAAAAAAAGTAGGCGAACAGTAGGTTAAAGCAAAAGTATTCCATCATTATTAGGGAACCATTTAGTAAAGCAACATGGGTGCATGAAAGTAGCATAAACAAATAGTTTTTATTTTTTGTTCATAACATATACATATTAGAAAGTGGTGAGAATTTATAGCATGATCTCGACTATCGGCAAGCTAGAATTCGGGATCGGGGGGCAACTGATGAGGGAAATCTCTAAAAGAAGTAAAACAGATGGATAAGATGATGAGGTGATAAATGCCGTTAGCAATATAAATTTAAAAATTAGTTTGGTTTTGATAAATATGAAATTTAAATTATCAACAAAGGCTTTCCTTGAAGATTGCAACAAACTCCCAGCTCGGTTGGCTATAAAAGCAGACACCTACCAACTAATGAGGTACGGGCAATATTGAACTCCACTTCATTAATTGCTTAATTTATTTCTTCAGTAAACTGACTTAGCCATCGGAGGTTGTTTGGCAGGTACCACACCGGTGCTAATAGAAAGTGTTGTGGTTTTGGATCGTTGCAAACTAAACTTCATCAATAACTTTTCGACTAGTTCGTAACTTGTGAGATGGTCGACAACAAATTAAATAGAATTAAAGTTCAGAACTTTTTTTTTTCTTTTCTTTTTAAAGCATTTCTCTAATCATATTGATCAATACTCCAAAAGAATCAAGTATGAAAGTTGAACAAATGACCTCTACTTCTAAGTATAGTTTTGTTATTTATTTTGTGTTAGGAAGCACAACCAATTCTCGTGTTGCGTTTGGTGTGGAGTAATGAAATGAAATGGAATGTCTATTCCAAACATTCTTTTATTTGGTATATAATTTAAAGTGGGAATGGTCATTCCATTGTAATGAAAATCCGTTCCATAACTAAACCTATGAAATGACCATTATATTTTCAAGTAATTTTTTATAAAAAAATCAATTTCCTAAAAAACCCTTATGTTCCAAGTCCAAAAACCACCACTACCTTCCACCACAACCACCTCCGCCTTTCACCACCACCATCGTCAATGACTTTCGCTATTGCTATCACCTTTCACAACAGCCACCACCTTCACCACCGTTACCTTCCACCACCGCCAAGGCTACCGCTACCGCTTTTCACCATCACCACTGCCAAGGGCAAATTTAGGCATTGTCCATGGGGTGGGGTAATAGTAGTGAGGACACCAGAAGGAACGTGGGCCGGATATGATCCGCAGACATGGCATCGGGTCAAACAATTGAGTTCAGCCCATACAGGAGCACCGCAGAATGGGCCGAGCCCCGAGGATCCATCGGAGAAGGCCAAGCCCATTTGAAAGAAGGCCCAAAACTGATAGTCCAGCAGCACTTGTAATTGCCCATAAAAAGGCAGTGAAGAGAGTGAAAGGGGAGAGGATACTTTTTTAATTGAAAATGTAATGAGATTCTGTCCAAATAGAGAGAGAAAATTCTTTGCATCTTCAATTGGCGCCATCTGTGGGAAGCGATGAAGAACATTCATTCATACTTAATCGATGTCATGTTAATTCAAACTGATCCGTGAAAACGAAGCAAGATTTCTAGAAATTGAATCCAGATCGGAAAGATTGCAGTTTTTTCTGAAGGAATTCTTGATTACTATTGGTTTTGACGTGTTTGCGTCGGAATAACGCAGCTGAGATTTGTTTGATCGCAGCTAGATCCGGTGAGTTAGAAGCTAGAAATGCTCAAATCTAGCGAGCTGTGATCGCGATTCAGTGAATCAGAGTCTAGATCCGATGAGATTTGCATCGGTAAAGCTCAGATCTGATTAAGATCTTGTGATTCATGCCTTTGCATCACTCCGGAATCATGATAGGAGGCGAGAGCTCTAATCCGGTAGAGAATGTCCACAAGATGAAGCTTGATGAGTTGATGAACATGATCGAAGTTCTTAGGAGAGAGAATGCAAAGCTGAAAGCTGGAATGCAGTGCCAAGAAGCTCCGGCGGTTCTGCAACCGCCTCCGGTGGGTGAAGAGGTTGCATCTTGTTGTTGTGCGTCAAGGTGAACAGGAAGATAATAACCTGCCAAATCCTCATCACGAGGAGGTTAGGCCAGATGATTTGCCGCTAAATCCTCGCCGTTTTGATAATCGAGAAGGCTCAATTCACTTAGATTCACGACATGAGCAGATCAAGCGGAACGCGGCAATGACTTTTGATCCGAATCAGGAGAGGTTCAACCGAGAAGAAGCTGTGGAGTTTGGACCTCACAAAACTACACCGATCTGGCAGAAGGAATACATGGAGGAAAGATCATCCGATTCGCTTTATCGACCTTCAATGGCTACGTTAAACTACCGAAGCTCAGAAAGGAGATCTACGGATCAGAGAGCTGCCGCAAGGTTCCATAGAGAGATTGAGGCCCTTCGTTCAGTAGCTCGGACGGTTAACTTGCCGTTTACCGATGAAATTCTGAATGCTCTTAGTCCGAGGAAATTCTCCATGCCAGTTTTCATCCTGTTTGACGGAACTATTAACCCGATTGATCATGTGTATCATATCCAATTGAAAATGGCTCTGAACACAGAGAATGACTCCTTAATGTGCAAATGTTTTCCAACAAGCTTAGCTGGACCAACGCTTAATTGGTTCAAAAACTTACCGAGAGGATCGATTGATAGCTTTTGAAGCCTTTGCGATTGGTTCATTAGCCAGTACTATGGGAATAAGTGCCCGGTAAAAGATGTCTCCAGTTTGTTCACGATGCGGCAGTATGAAGATGAACGCATCCAAGCCTTTCTTACCAGATTCAATTTAACTAAGAGCATGGTGATCGAATGCCATCCGTCCACGGCGGTTCAGGTATTCAGGCTGGCCATGATTCGTGGGACCTCGTTCCACACAAGTCTGGTGGTGAACACGCCACAGACTATGGATGAGCTGAACGAAAGAGCTGATAGATTTGTCCGTTTGGAAGAGGAAGAGGCAGCTAATGCGAGGAAGACGTCAATTATATTAACGGAGGAAAAATCCAAAGCCAAGATCAGGCAAAAACCAGCTCCATTGCAGCGGCAGATCCCTTGGACAGCAGAAAAAAGGTCTAGGGAAGAGGAATTGGTCACTCCATTGAAAGTAACTCTAGCAAGGCTATACCAAGAAAACAAAGATAAGTTCCGACCTCCTTTACCTATCAGACAATCCTTGGAGTAGAGAGATAAGTCTAAGCATTGCGATTTCCATTCTGACTTTGGCCATCAGACTAACGAATGCAGGAACTTAAGGAAGCAGGTGGAGATGTTGATAGCTAGAGGGGAGTTCGCAGGTTATATTCAAGGCCCGGCGGTAGAGCAGAGCCGACCGACGGAGCAAGTGAAGAGGAATCAGAAGCCGAACTCCCACAACTTGCAACCAGTTCGAGTAATTAATGCAATTCATGGCCGGCCTGAACGTGAAGAGTCAGATGAACTACTTCGAGTACGGCTCCGCCAGGCGCATATGAAGAGGAGGATAGGCAGTGTAAACACTCTGCACCAACAGAGCGCATCAACACCGATAAAGTTTGACAAAACAGATCTGTTGCGTGTTCAGATCCCTCACGAGGACCCGTTAGTCATCAGTTTGACAGTGGCTGAATGTTTGGTACGCAGAGTTCTGATTGATCTTGGAAGTAGTGCGAACGTCATGTCGAATGACACATTTGATCGGCTCGAGATCAAGCCAGACCGGCTCAAGCCCACTGGGAATCCTTTGCTAGGATTTGATGGAAAACGAGCGGAGCCCATCGATACGGTGGAGGTAGTAGTGCATGCTGTAGAGAGGGTTCTGATGGAGACCTTTGTGGTTGTCGAGATTCTTCCTTCTTACAACCTTCTGATGGGCAAAGGGTGGATCCACAGAGTTCAAGGTGTTCCTTCTACTCTGCACCAAGTAATGAGATGCCTAGGGCCAGACGGAACCAAGGTGATTGACATTCATGGGGACTAGGTTGCAGCTAAGGAATGTTATTCAGTAACGCTGAAGTATGCTGGAAAAGGGAAAGCACCCATCCGTTCGGCAAGCCCGAGATAGCAATTACAGGAGCCTCCCCCCAAGCAGAATGGGGAGGAGGAGCCAGTGGACTTGACCGAAGAACCCCTAGTTGATGTACAGATCGATCGGGTCCGACCAGAACGAACAACCAGAGTGGGGGTAAGACTTGCTGAGGAGGAGAAACAGGAGTTAGTTGATTTCTTGTCTCAGAACGCCGATGTATTTGCATTGAGCCACCTAGACATGCCTAGAATCAATCATTCCGTATCCTGTCACTCCTTGAACATTAATCCCAATGCAAGACCTGTAAAGCAGAAGCAGCGAAGGTTCGCTCCAGAGCGTACCCGGATCATAGCCGAGGAGGTTGATAGGCTGCTTGATGGGGGATTTATAAGAGAAGTGTACTATCCTGACTGGTTGTCAAACATTGTTGTTGTACAGAAGAAGAATGGGAAATGGCGAGTGTGCATTGATTTCACCAATTTGAACAAAGCCTGTCCGAAGGATAGCTTTTCGTTGACAAAAATCGATCAAATGGTGGATGCTACTACTGGGTATGAGCGTTTAACCTTTTTGGATGCTTATTCTGGATATAATCAGATCCCCATGGACTCTGCTGATAAAGAGAAAACTTCTTTCGTTACCAAGCACGGGACCTATTGCTACAAAGTTATGTCGTTCGGACTGAAGAACGCCGAAGCAACTTACCAAAGGCTTATTAGCAAAATTTTCAAGGGTCAAATAGGGAAGACCGTGGAAGCTTACATTGATGACATAGTAGTAAAAAGCAAGAAGAAAGTTGACCATCTGAAACATCTACAAGACGTATTTGATGTGTTAAGACAATATGGAATGAAACTCAATCCAACCAAGTGCTCATTCGGTGTGAGTTCTGGTCAATTCCTGGGACATGTAGTTAATCATAGAGGCATAGAAGCTAGCCCTGCCCAAGCAGAAGCTCTGACTAAGAAGGTCGAGCCGACGACAATCAAAGAAGTGCAAACACTTGCGAGACGAATCGCTGCATTGAGCCGGTTCATTTCCAAATTATCAGATCGCTACAAACCATTTTTTGACACAATATGAAGCCATGGGAGACAAGTTTGGGGGGACAAACAGCGCCGAGCATTAACTGGTTTGAAGGAATATATGCAGAACCTTCCGGTCCTGTCAGCTCCAGAACCACGAAAGAATCTATTTTTATACCTCAGGGTATCCAGCATCGCGACAAGTGGCGTTCTGATCTGTTGTAAAGAGGGGAAGCAATATCCAGTGTTTTATATTAGCAAAACGATGACTGAGGCCGAACGACGATATTCAAAGGCCGAACGGGTGATACTCTCGCTAGTACATGCGAAAAGAAAGCTCAGGCATTATTTTGAATCCCATCCTATCATCGTTCTGACCACTTTCCCTATCAGAATAATCCAGCACAAGCCAGACCTCTCAGGGAGGATGACGAAGTGGGCCATAGAGTTAAGCTCATTTGACATAACATTAGAGCCTAGAACGACAGTCAAAGGGCAAATAGTGGCAGATTTTTTACTAGAATGTGATTCAGAAGACATGGAGGAAGACCTTCGTGGTTGCTTGTGGAAACTCTTTGTCGATGGATCCTCAAATCAAATGGGGGCAGGCATTGGAGTCAAATTGCAGACACCAGAAGGCACGTCCCTAAGTCAAGCGCTCTAACTTAAATTCAGAGCTACCAATAATGAAGTGGAGTATGAAGCACTACTGGCAGGACTTAAGCTCGCCAAAGAGCTGAAGGTCAGGAATTTGACTATTTTTAGTGACTCGCAATTAATTGTTCGACAGGTGAATGGTGAATATGAAACCAAGGATGAAATGATGGAAGCATATCATTCTGTTGTTATGTGGGAGGCCAAAAACTTTGAAAAAATTGATTTCATCCAAATACCGAGGGAGCATAACGAAGATGCCGATCGATTAGCATGTAGCGCCTCGGGTTCTAGAGAAACATTGGCAAAGGTGATTCCAGTAGGAATACTGAACCAGCCATCCATTTTTGAAGAACCTTCGGGCCTAGATCCTTGGCAAGTGAATGTTATTCTATATGAGCCAAGTTAGATTGATCCGATCATAACTTACATTCGGGATGGTACTCTACCTGAGCAAAGAGATGAGACTAGGAAAATCAAATTGAACGCTGCAAAGTACGCTATAGTGCATAACCAGTTATACAGGAGGTATTTTTCTGGGCCTTACTTAAAGTGCGTCACCCCCACAGAGGCTCAGAAGATGCTGCGAGATATTTATGAAGGTGTGTGTGGAAATCATTCAGGGGGAAGATATTTAGCGCACAAAGCAATGACGCAAGGGTACTTCTGGCCGAACATGTCACGAGATGCGGAAGAATTCTCCAGAAAGTGCGATAAGTGCCAAAGGTTCGGACCATTGATCCACCAACCACCTAAGGACTTGCACGTAATGGCCACACCATGGCCTTTCGCACAATGGGGGATGGATGTGGTTGGTCCTCTGCCAACTGCAAGAGCTCAGAACAAGTATATATTGCTGGCAACAAATTACTTTACCAAATGGGTAGAAGCAGAGCCATATCCGAGCGTAACGCAAACTCATGTAAGACGCTTCATCTGGAGTAATATTATTTGCCGTTTTGGTGTTCCGAGGTCAATCGTTATGGATAATGGGACTAATCTTGACAGCAAACAAGTCAGAGAATTGCTGGAAGAATATGGAATCAACCAAAAATTGGTAGCAGTAAGTCATCACCAGGCTAATGGACAAGCAGAAATTACGAATAGAATAATTTTTGCTTGTATCAAGAAGAAGCTGGAAAACCATAAAAGGAAGTGGCTGGACGAACTCCCGAACGTCCTATGGGCTTACAGAACGACCCCTAGACGGCCGACCGGGGAAAACCCATTCACCATGGCATACGGAATCGAGGCAGTCATACCGGTTGAATATTTGGTTCCGACGGTCCGAAGCTTAGCATGGAATTAGGAACAGAATGACAAAATGCTGAGATTTAACCTTGATATGTTAGAAGAAAAGAGAGGTGCTGCGGCAATAAGGCTTGCATCCTATCAGCAGACACTGGCTAGCAGCCATAACAAAAGGGTGAAGCACAGAGATTTCACAATTAGCGATCTGGTTCTGAAGAAGAAGGTATGAATGGTTAAAAAGATGATATCACCTTGGGAAGGACCATACAGAATTGCAGAGGTCATAGGGAAAGGGGCATATGTACCAGAGACCATGGCCGGAAGGTTGGTTAACAAGCCATGGAATATTATATCTTTAAAAAGGTATTATATGTAGAAAGTTTAAAGTTCTAATTCTGGCATCACTCATTTTCAGTTGTACAAAATTCTGAAATTTATAAAAAGCTATCTTCTTCTAAAAAGTTGAGTTTATGGAAACAACAAAGTAAGTGGCAGCTGGCACTATGAGCCGAACGTCAGAAACTTGTCAATATATATATATATATATATATTAAAGAATGAAAGTGGCAAGTAGCATTCTAGCCGAGCGCCAACCACTCAGCAAAGTAAGTGGCAGCTGGCATTATGAGCCAAACGTCAGAAACTTGCCAAAAATATATATATATATATATATATATATATATGTATATATATATAAAAGAGTGAAAGTGGCAAGTGGCATTCTAGCTAAGCGCCAACCACTTAGCAAAGTAAGTGGCAGCTGGCACTATGAGCCGAACGCCAAAAACTTGCTAAAAGTAAAAGAGTGAAAGTGGCAAGTGGCATTCTAGCCTAGCGCCAACCACTCAGCAAAGTAAGTGGCAACTGGCACTATGAGCCGAACGCCAAAAACTTGCCAAAAGTAAAAGAGTGAAAGTGGCAAGTGGCATTCTAGCCGAGCACCAACCACTCAGCAAAGTAAGTGGCAGCTGGCACTATGAGCCGAACGCCAAAAACTTGCACAAAAAGTTTGTTGTGTGGTAAAGTGACACACTAGCCGAACGTCAGCCACTGACATACAGAGAAGAACCAGATCAAATAGCATTAAATCATCAAGTCAAGGGATTTATGGCAAGAGTTCAATCAAAAGTCAGCCATCTCATTAATAATAAAGTTTCAGCGTTACAAAAAATGAGGTATACAGATGGTAAAAAACAAAAGGAAGGAGGTCAGTACATCAGAAAGGTTCCAACTAGAAGCATTTGCCCCGTCAGCTTCTTGATAATGCTGAACGGCCCCTTCATCATTGTTAGCGTTACAGTCCTCACGAGGAGGAGAATCAAGCTGAATGACAGAATCATTCTGCTGAGTTCTATCCTCATTGGCATTGGAAGAATCATTTTGCCGAGGCTCATCCTCAGTAGTAGTGGCGGAGGGAGCCACGGTGGACAAAGGAAGAACGCCTAGAGGTTGAGCAGTAGAGGGAGTAGGGATGACCCTGGAAGAGGCGATCTCTTGCATTCATCAAATATGCCCTCAGTAGGGGTGGAGTCTGGATTAACATAGACACCCAGATGATCAATCTCCAGCTCTTTGTCAACCTCATCAGGGGTAGAACCGGTCTGATCTTCAGCTGGAAAACGATCAGTATAACCCTCTCGGAACCCCTGAGAGTATCTGAGGGCCCCAACCCTGGAAAACCGAGCATGCAGAGCCAAGATACCACCATTTACCTTGCTGATGGTGCTGAGTAAAGCATCACGCTCGTCTAGAGCTCTTTTCTCAAAAGCCATCCGAGCGGATTGCTCATCACTCAGAAGGCGCTGAAGTTCTTCCTTCTCAGCCTTAAGAGATTCTCACTCGGTATGCCAGACACTCTTCTCAAGTTGTAGAGCGTCCTTTTCATCCTGAAGGGAGTCCGTTTCCTTTTTTAGAGCGTCCCTCTCCTTCTCAACTTTGTTGAGCTAAACCATCGACCCGGTATTCTGAGCACCTAAAGCATCGTTCTCCTTATTGGCTGCACCAAGGTTGTCAGAGAGCATACGAACCTTGGCATTTACCAGCTCAACCTGTTTCTACATGGCCATCATCCCGTACAGGGTCTGTAGAGATATACATAATAACTGATTAAGCCGAGCAAATGGTCAGAAGAAATCTAATGTATAGACTATGTAAAGATTCATTGACTGAGGGACAGAAGTTACCTCCATCGTAGATAAGGGGAACCGACTGAACACTTCCTTCTGAGACAGACCCTTAGCTACCTCAATATCCTTAGGAGTCCACATGCTCCTGTAGTATGCCATAGCGGTCTGACCGTCCTTGAACATGGTCTCGTCCGGCTTTACAGACGATCCATCTGTTCGAATAAAGCGAGGATTCCATGGTGCCGTTACAGAGGCAGAGGCATTAACAAAGGTAGGCCCAGAGGGGGTAGGAGGCCTAGTCAGAAGAGGCCTAGTCAGAGGGTGCATGGACACACTCGGCCCAGAAGGCCTAACCCTTTGTGACAGAGGAACGTCATCAAGGCTGAGAGCACTATCAGGTTGATGCCTTTTTCCTCTCGTCTTTTCCCGAGCGGTAGCAGTAGCAGAGCTGGGAAAGTTGCTGACAGAAGGGGTCACATTCGGATTGACAGTCGTGGTGTTGGAGATCGGGTCGGTAGCCGTCACGTTCGGATCGGTGGAAGGAGTGGTATCAGAAATAGTCGCAGAGGAAGATACTGAAACTAGAGAAGAAGTTGCTGCAGGGGCAACAACGGTCCTGGGGGCAGCTTTCTTCCTACCGAAGGAAGGGATCTGGAGTTGACTCATTGTTTTGCCAAGGGCTGAGAGAGCAAGAAGGTTGTCTGAGGTAAAGAGATCCGAGCAAGAAGAAATGTTGGTCAGAACGTACTTCTTCAAATAGTTATCCCTATCCCTGCAAACATCGTAACTCAAATCATCACAAGGAATGCCTAAGGAACGGTATAAGAAAGTACAAAAGCGAGGAACACAAATCTCGCAAGGACAGTCACTCTTATGGGTTTTATATTTTTCATATGAAGAGATAGAGCACTCTCCAAAAGCGCTCGGGATAGGGAAGTCCTCTGCGGTTGGAGAAAACCAGGCTCCCCTAATCCCAATTATATTTTTCCTCCAACCCTTCTCAGATTTGATTTTATCTTTGCAGATG